CGACACAACCGCAGCCGAAAGGCGACAACAAGAAGGGCCGCAGACGACTTAGGGACGCCAGCCGGCAGCAGGAGGGACACAACGAGCGGGAAGACGCCTTAACGAGGCTGATGAAGGAGGCACGGAGGCGTGTGGTAACACCCAGCACACCGAGGAAGAGAGGGCTGAGTAGGACCAGCGATTCCAGCCCTCCCACATCGCAGAAGAAGGCCGGACGTGGAACAGCTGTGGATGGCGATAACAACACATAAACACGCGCGCGAGACTGATTTCTGTTTTCTCGCCCTTGACAACTTTGAACGGAACGGACTTATGATTCTTTGGACTCTCGGACTTATGGATTTGACGCTAAGGACTTTTCTGTATTCCGGTATGGAGCTCATGTCCAAAAGACAGAAAATGTACCAAAACTGGATAATTTCATGTGAGTATGGGTATGGCTGAGCTTAATTGTTTGTCTTTAAATGTTAAAGGAATTAGAGATAAATCTAAAAGAAGAACTATATTTAAATGGTGTAAGGACCAAAGAGCTGATGTAATACTCTTACAAGAAACACATGTAACATCAGAAGTAAAAACTGAATTTGATTTAGACTGGGGTGGGAAGGGTTTCCACTCATGTGGAACCAGTAAAAGTAAAGGTGTTTCGATCTATTTCGGCTTAAGATGTAATGTACAAAACATTGAAGCTTTTGATGATAAGGGGGAGAGAAGAAAAATCCTAATAAATTGCCACATTGGAGATTTAGATTTAACATTAGTTAACATTTATGCCCCAAATAATGTAATTGAGAGAATTTCCTTTCTAGCCAGCCTTACTAAAGGGATAGATGATAAAAGACAGCTCAACAGTGACACCAATAGAGATGTAATTACTGGGGGAGATTTTAATGCAGTATTCTATAGGGATAAGGATAAAAAGGGTGGGAGAATGACTAATGTAGAACAGTCATCAATAGCTTTAAGGAATTTTAGAGAATCGCCAGAAGACGGTTGTTTTGAAGGTAAATTTGGCGCAAATATAACCTGAACTACAGCAAAACTAGTAGGGGTTCAGTGTATATTTAACTATGACGTATGTGTACCAATTCTGTTCATCTTTAGACCTCTGCGACATTTGGCGGGAAAAGAACAAAGAGATTAGGCAGTTTACATACAGGGATAACTTCCATAAAGTTGCTTGCAGGTTAGACTATTGGTTCATTTCAAAAACTATGCTTAGTTCAGTTAGGAAATGTGATATTAGACCTAGTGTTAAGACTGACCATAATGCTATTTTCCTTAAACTACATAACACAACAAAGGAATAGAGGCCC